CTTCGTGTGGACCTTCACAATCTCCACATCGCCATCTTCAAGAACATTCCGAACGAAGTGATAATGAACGTCAATGTGCTTCGTCCGCGTATGAAAAACATGATTCTTCGCCAAATAGATAGCACTCATGCTATCACAATGAATAGCGACGGATCTTTGCGATATACCAAGTTCCTCCAAAAGTCCTCGAAGCCAAATAGCCTCCTTCACAGCCTCCGTAACTGCCATATCCTCTGCCTCCGTCGTAGACAAAGCTACCGTCGACTGTAAGGTGCATCTCCAACACACCGGCGCACGGGTCAAAGTGAACACATACCCTGTCGTAGACCGGCGCTTATCCAAATCCCCGGCATAATCCGAATCTACATAGCCAATGCATAGCTGGCCACCTGTAGTGTCCCGCTCATAAACTAAACCAACATTGAGCGTACCTCAAATGTACCTCAAAATCCATTTCACGGCGTCCCAATAACCCACTCCTGGATCGTGCATGTATCTCGATACCATGCTTACCGCCTGTGATAAATCTGGCCTCGTACATACCATTGCGTACATCAAGCTCCCAACCGCACTCGCATATGGAGTCTTCGACATCAACTCTCTATCTTCAACTGACTTCGGTGAAAGACCAGTTGAAAGCTTCAAATGGGCTCCCAATGGTACACTAACTGGCTTCGTATCCATTCTAACATGGAATCACTGTAGAACCTTCTTCAAATAAGCCACCTGTGTCAAACAAATTATGCCCTTCTTCTTGTCTCTGCCGATCTCCATTCCCAAAATGCGTTTGGCCTCACCCAAGTCCTTCATCTCAAACTCATTTGAAAGTTAAACTTTTAACTCATATATAGCCGACCTGGAAATAGAGGCAACCAACATGTCATCGACATAGAGCAACAAATAAATGTACGCACCTCCTTTCAACTTGTGAAAATATACGCAAAGATCAAACTGACTCCGAGTGTACGAATGACCAAGCATAAAACCATCAAATCGTCTATACCACTGTCAATGAGACTGCTTCAAACCGTATAGCGATTTCTTTAATCTGCAAACCAACTTATCTTTCTCTGCAGCTCGGAATCCCAATGGCTGAGTCATATATATTTCTTCATCAAGATCACCATAAATAAATGTCGTCTTCACATCCAACTGATCTAACTCCAAACCATACTGTGCCACCAAAGCTAGCAAAATCCGAATCGAAGAGTGCTTCACCACCGGAGAGAAAACCTCATTATAGTCAATGCCTTCCTCTTGTGCATAGCCCTTCGCAACCAACCTAGATTTGAACCTCAATGGAGTGCCCTCAATGCCCTCCTTCTTCGTGTATACCCACTTGCAACCAATTGCCTTTTGCCCCTTTGGAAGCTCAATAAGCTCCCATGTATCGTTCTTATGAAGAGATTACATCTCCTCCTGCATAGCCACCAGCCACGAATCAGCCTCCGAACTCTGCTCGGCCTCTCTGAATGTAGTAGGCACTAACTCATCGATACTCTCCACCGGAAGTGCATACGCAACTGTGTCGGCATACCGTGCTGGCATCTGTATGTCTCTCCTCTGTCTCCGAGCCGCAATCGAATCCTGAACCTGAGCCGTCGGTTCTTGATCCTGCACATTTGTACTTGTATCATCCGTGTCACCGTCGTGCTCGCCTGGCGTCACCTCAGTCGGTACCCGCATGGATACTGTACTATCTGGACAATGTGGAGCTACATCGATCTCCACCACCTATGATATCTCCTCCGTCGGGTCGTTCTCCACCTGATGAGAGCTGGGAAGCTTCAAGATAGAAGCCTCATCGAATGTGACACCCCTACTCAGCATAATCTTCTTATCCACTGGATCCCAAAGCTTGTATCCCTTGACACCACGCTTGAATCCTACAAATATGGCCTTCCTAGCTCGAGGTTCCAATTTATCAGTTCTAACATGATAATATGCAAGGCACCCGAATACCTTGAGCTGGTCATAGTCATGTGCTGGCTTTCCCGACCACATCTCCATAGGGGTTTTCCCCTCAATCGCAGATGAAGGCAGCCTATTAATGAGGTGGCTCGCATATGTAAGTGCCTCAGCCCAAAAGATCTTCTCCAAACCACTCTGCGACAATAAGCATCGGATCTTCTCCAGTAAAGACCGATTCAACCTCTCTGCCACCCCATTTTGCTGCGGTGTATGACTAACTGTGAAGTGTCTCTCTATGCCCTCGTCTCGACATAGCTGCTGAAAGGGGTCAGAAGTATACTCACCACCGTTGTCGGATCGCAACGTCTTGATCTTTCTCCCAGTCTGCAGTTCCAATCTCTTCTTCCACTCCACAAACAAATCTAGGACTTCACTCTTCTTCGTCATGGTGTACACCCAACAACGCCTAGAATAGTCATCTACAAAAGTGACGAACCAATGTCTACCACCAAGTGATGCAGTCTTGGTGGGACCCCAAACGTCTGTGTGCACGTAGTCCAGGATGCCCCTCGTCTGATGAATGGCAGTCCCGAACTTCACCTTCGTCTTCTTGCCAAGAACACAGTGCTCACAGAACTCAATCTTCCCACTCTTGGCTCCCTTCAATAGCCCCTGCTTGCACAATGCCTGCAGTGACTTTTCACCTGTGTGCCCCAATCTATAGTGCCAAAGTCTGCTCATGTCCGCTTCTGAAATAGCCGAAGCAACCTGGCCAATCTCGGTGCTTCCCTTCAGATAATACAAATTCCGATTGCGGACTCCCCTCATCACCACCAATGATCCCTTAGTAACCTTCGCTACAGCGTTTTCGAAAGTTACCTTGAATCCCTTCGCCTCCAAAGCTCCAACTGAGATAAGATTTTTCTTCAGTTGAGGAACAAATCTCACCTCCTTCAACTCACGGACTACTCCATCGTGCATCCTAATCCGCACGGTACCTATCCCACAAATGCCACAGGATTGATCATTTCCCATGACAACAACGCCCCCGTCGACTTTCTCAAAAGATGCAAACCAGTCTCGCCTAGGGGTCACATGAAAAGTAGCGCCGGAATCAAGCATCAAATCTGATGCATCCACATGGTTCACCTCCGGAGTAATCAGTAGAGAAAAGCACGAATCATCGGAATCATCGCCTTTCGCAATATTCACCTCATTGGCCTTCAGGCCCTTATTCTTGTCATTCTCCTTCCCCTTGAGCTTCGGACAGTCTCTCTTCCAATGTCTCTGCTCCTTGCAGAATGCATATTGGTTCTTTGCTAATTGGTGGCGGCTTCTTGACTTTGACCTTCCTCTATTACCACCTTTTGGATATGAGCTTCTACCTCTCGTTGACAAGGCCTCGCCTGAAGTACTAGCGCGGGAAGTATCCTTATCCTTCCTCCTCAAATCGTAGTTCGTCAATGCGTTAGTCACTTCACTATAGCTGATAGAAGATCTCCCGTTCAACAAAGTGAGCACGAAGGTATCATACTCCTCATCCGGTAAGGAACCCAACAAAATAATCGTCTTGTACTCATCCGATATCTTTTCATCAACATTCGTCAAGTCCGACAACAACTTAGTGTAGTTGTTCACATGAGCCGCTAGCGAGGTGTCTCTGGACATCTGAAATCGAGGTGTCTCTGGACATCTGAAATCTGAAGAGTCTTCGCAGCAAGTGCAACCTGTTCTCAACACTCTTTGTGAGATACTTATTGTTGAGAATTTCCCACATCTTCATTGCAGACGTCACCCCAATCACATCATATTTCAACTTCTGTTCCAAACAGGACCTGATCACCCCACAAGCGTTCCTATTCATCTTCTCCCATACCGCCTCTTCATATTTAGGTGGCCTCTCGTGGACCATGATGGTCTCTTCCAAATTCTGGGCATTGAGCGCATCTTGTACGTCGCTCATCCACAAACCAAAGTTGATTTTACCATCATACTTCACCACACTAATCTTAGTGTTCTGAAAACCAACTTGTAATGTACTCGCCATCGATTTGCTGCTTTCACCTTCTTCTCCCATTGCGAACTAACTCCAAGTTGTAGAGAAAGAACAAATTTGACAGAATTAGGAACCACCCAACTGAACCCTAGATCGGATTCCAAATAGATCTCCTATCCACACGAGGAAAGCGAAATCTCCAACGGTAACTCCTAATGCTATCTCCACCGAAGCCTAGAACTCCAAGAACCAAGCTTCACACAAAATCTTCCTCCACCAAACTCCAAAACACCCTAGATCTGAAATCTGGACTCTGATACCACTTGTTGCGCGCAGCGGAAATTTCGGCAGCACTTCGACAGCACAACAAGAGAGTCAGGTCGCAATAAGAATTCTTGTTTCTCAAAGGGAACAAGAATCTGAAGCCTAATATCCCATCAAAGTGGGATATTAGCTCTTCCTCTCGTCAGCTCTAGGACTGCGCGTCGAGGGAACCTAAAAGGCTATTACAAATCATACAAAAGTAGTACAACCAATTTTTACGTGGTTCGGCAAATTGCCTACGTCCACGGGGCAAGGAGGGGGGAGATCTACTATTAGAGGGAGAGATTACAACTAGGGTTTACAATCACTCACAAACTAAACCCTCAAACAAACTCTCAAATCCCTCACAATAACTCTCTACAAAAGGATGCACAAACCCTAACAAAAGCTGTTGCTTTATCTTTTGCACCCAAAGCCAATTTTCTCCTGCTGCGAATTTACCACACAACCAAAAAAACTCCTGCTCTGCGCCTCTGTTCCGCAGCCACAAAAGAAAACAAAACCTCCTGCGCTACATTGCCCTAGGAAACGAATAATATATATAGGCTTGGCTTGTCGGGTGGGCCTGGTAATTCGGGTCTTTGGGTGTTCACGAAAACACCTCACGGTTTTCACCTCAGTCACAATTTGCTCACGTGTGGTCCCCACTGGTCCCCACACATTCACGTTCACAGCTTTTTATGAGAAGTTAATATTTTCGAACAGGAAGGCAATTCATTATGAGCATGATAAATCCTATCCACAAAAACCATCGAACGCGTTAAGTACGTTTGCGAAAAAGAAGCCCAACTTTCTTGTTCATAATACGTAAACAAATGTATCAACTGAATAATTGATACATACATTAGGAGAAGTACACTACGTGGAGGAAAAGAAGCCCAGCTTTATTAATCACAATAATAACTAAACAACTGTATCAACTGAATAATTGATACATAGTTGTGTGCAGTGATCATCGTCTACAAATCTCTCAGCTATTAATTAATTTCAGAGAAGAAGCATTTTGCCTCTGGAGCCTGAAGCTAGCTAGCTCATGTGTAGTAGGAGCAGCTCTGGCTTTTCTATTAGGAGCTTCCACTCGTTACAGAACTTTGCAACTGTTGCCCCGTCAATAATTCTATGGTCAGCTCCGACGGTAACCTGAAGAAAGAGGAAGTCGAGGTCAAATGCGAACAAGCTCGTAGAATTTTCCCATGATTGATGGGAGTCTCGTATTATTAGGTTAACATATTAATGAGAGTGATTATTTTGGTTTGGGAGGTAAAAACATGTTTCTTTATGGAAGTGAAGCATGAACGATAACCGAATTACCGGGTCCAACTATTCACACTCCCAAACAGTAACTTTGGGGGTGTGTGAGGACTAAATTGCCCTTCTCCCAAACCAAACCAGGCCAAGTCCAAAAGGGCATTTTCGGCAATCCAACTCCCAAAGTTACTGTTTGGGAGTGGATATAGCAAACATGCGAATTACCATATATCAGGAAGTGAAACCACGTATAAGGGTAGATTTCGGACAGGAAAAAAAACCCTTGAACCTTGGGGTGTTTGCACAAAGCCCCCTAAACTTTATAAATTAGAGGAAACTCCATTAACTTTCAAAACTATAAAAACCAAATTGTCATAAGCAGCGATGATGTGAAGGATAGAAGGTTTCATATTTTCTTATTAATATTTATTAACCCTAAGCTGAAAAACTCTCTCAGTAGAAATAAAAAGTACATAACGACAAAATTATCCAAAATATGTCACGTAAACTAAACTAACGGTATACAATCATGGTATTTTAGTGAAACATGTTCAGCAAGGTTTTCTGTAATTTATAAAATTTAGGAATGTTTAATACACTCTAAGTTCAAGGGTTTTGTAAAATTTACCCCATTCATGTAACACTGAGCTTGAGAATAAAATGGTGCTTGTTGCATGGTCATGTTGAACGTATGATTACCAATTTACCATTGATACCCATAGCGTAGATTTGTTCATTCAATATTTTTCTTCTTTCCCAAATGATCATTAATTAATTCATAAACAGATGTTCAGAGCATCAGAAAACAACTATAGATTTGAACCATAGATTGCTTAGCAATTTACTGTCCGTAATCAAATCTGCATGTTTATTATGTGTGACAAACTTAACATCATGATAATGAAAAAAAACTACTGACAACTTACATTGGTAATGGCAGCTGGATATATAGATCCGTCATCTCGAAAACGAGGAAGTTTTTGCATCCGACCAATTGCAATTATGGCTGCTTCAGGTAGGTTTATTACTGGTGAGCCAAACTTGCCGCCAATGGTCCCAATGTTGCTCAATGTTATTGTTCCTCCAGTAATATCTTCAGTACTTAGCTTGTTGTTTGATGCCAATTTATGTAATCTAGACATTTCCTTTGTAATCTAATGAAAGAAAGCATGCATTAATAGAAAGTCCTACATTTCGGTGATAAAGGGAAAAGGGGGAAAAGTAAAAGAAATGGGAACACATGTTGTCATGATCTATATCAAAATACAAAGACAAATTCCCTCATTTTAGTGATGTTATCTCTATATCTTTTGTTTGTAAACAAGTATCAGGTAACCTTAGTTTTCGCAGTTGAAAGAAAATTGAGATGTTTGCTAGTCTGCAAATACAGTATCAGGCAAATTAAAACTACCATTTACAAACTATAAAGAACATTTAGCACCTAAAGGTATCATTTACAGATTATAAACACAAAATAATGGTAGTTGATAAAATATAGAATGTTGAAAGCAAGCTAATTCCAGAAAACATACTCAAACTGAAATTACATCTATACCAACTACAGTTATTCGTTTCATTTTTAATAAGATCAAAGTTACAGAATTTACTACCAACATAACAAGTAATCAATACACAGAAAATGACAGACTAGAGGACTGTGAAAGTCATAACTAATGATCAATATCTGTATTCAAAGCCTACTGAAAACTGCAAGACCTTATGAAGGGACACGTAGTAGCATATTCTCAAGAAAAAATGGCATAAAGCTTTAGTTTTTTATCATATGATATTGCTCATCAGATTACAATTTGACTTATGAAGAGATATAATAGCATATATCAAGCAAAAATGGCAGAAAGCTTTAGATCTTTATCATATAATATCGTTTATCTGATTAAAGTTTGATCCATCTAGCCATTATATGTCCTGTTTATAAGAACACATTTTTTATTAGGTATATCAGTGACTGCTCAAATATAATAAATTTAATTCCCAATTGAAAACAAGTTTGAAGTTAGATCTAACCTCTAATATGGAGAGAGATTGAACCTTCTTTATATTTGGTACTACCAAACCGTATGATGTAGCCATGGCAACACCAATATTATGGCATCCTACATTATAAACCAGAGAAATATATTTTAAAACTGGAAAATAAACCATAGAAAGAGACATGGAATTTAAATAATGCATGCACAAAGTTGCTTGTATCTGCATTTTCCAAAGCATCCAGCGTAGAAAAAAGTTGTAATCCTGCAAGTACTACTTCCACTAAACATTATCAGTAAAAACCTAGTTGAACGGGGTGCTAAATTAGACGTCACCTACGTAGAGAATAAAGTAATTATGTTGTCTATAGGATGCATATGAACTCAATGGACAAATATTAGATGGAATACAAGTGAAACTGAGGCCAATTGGGTATGAAAAAGAGTTTCGCATGAAACATAGATGGAATACAAGCGGAATTAATCTGTCAAAGAAATTATGAAACATATAGATAGTCGAGTTCTCCAGTGATGAATACACTTATCAGAAATTGAAAAAAAAACAACTAATCTTAGCATGAAAACTTCTCCCATTTCTACAGTAAATGGCATGAAATCACTTCACTTTAAGTAGTTGGAAACATCATAGACGAGAAATATGTCGTGTAAGGTGACAATCACATGAATGATCCAAAGCTTTGATAATAGGTATAGTCTACAAGTGTAACGTGATTAATGAATCAAATTTTATAAAATAAATATGTAACTAATAGTGGAAGCTAGATTTACACCACACGAGAACCTTGTATGCTAAAAAAATGCATATCTTTTAGGTCTTCTCGAAAATAACTGAAAGGGCATACAAAATTTCTACACATTACCCTAGATCAACAAAAAATATAGGAGAAGCAAATGTGAAAATTGGTCAAAAAACACAACACTTGAATATAATTGCAAGGAGGAGTCGACCACTAGTTTGTAAGGTGTTAACTTCAACGATTCCATACCCACTGCAGGAAACACAGGTGGCTTGGGGACGTAGTGGTAATACTGCAAACACCCCCAAGTCCCTGGTCCACCCAGGGTTTACTTGGTAGGGGTCGAGGATCAAACTCAGGCTTCGGCCTGGGATCCTAGTGCCTTGTCAAGGTTTCCCTCATATCCAAAAAAAATTCAAAGATTCACCGACATTAATAATAGTATGCACGTTATTCTTAAATTACAAACAAGCATGAAATAGAAATAAGAAGCAAGCTAACAAAAGATCATGAGTAAAGACAGTAAACTTAACAAACAGAGCACCAGCATACCTTTAAGAATGACTTCAGTGGTTTCCTCGTTAAAGGTGCTATTCAGCAGTGGGTATTTTTTCAATGCCAATGAAAGAGACTTTATTAAGAAAGGAAGAAAAGTGTGTTTCACATCTGGATCAGTGTTCTCATTTTGAAAAGCTGTCTTAAGCTTCACAAGTGCATCACAATTTATCTCCTCCAAGTAATGAAAATGCGGAACTTTTGCAGCCATTGTCATCAATTTAACCATAGATCTCTGAAATCCTCTGAGATGTAAAAACAATCCTCAGTCATCTATTGATGCAGCATATTACTTTTTATGTTATGAAGAAGAAAATATAGTATCATGGAAAATGAGAAAATGCTTTTCTTGTAGGGTTAGAACAAATTTGACATGTACTAAATTGGGGAACAAAGGGAAAACAAACTACAAAAAGAAGTATCAGCATTATAAAGCTTCAGAACATAAAACCTACTACTTCATATTTCTCACAAAACAATCAACTCAACTGTTAAGACCTCCAATCAGAAGAAGAAAAACAATTAAGACTAAATGTGTACATAAATTCCTATCTTTGTGACCTTAATATCAAACATAGAAAATAAGTACATAAATGTGAGTGGGGGCCACTTTCCGCGTGAGGTGCTCTCGTGAACACCCGAAGTCACGCCCACGTGAGTTAAGAGCTGGCTGCACACGTTTTTCATTTAAGGCCCACCCGAATACCATCAATTATATATAGCCTAGTTATTTTGTTTAGGGTTTTGTGCTGGAGAAAACGGGGTGCAGGTTTTGCGGCTGTGAATTTATTTTCTCAGCTTGGAGATTTACGAAAAGCAGGCAGAGGGGAGTCTTTTGCGGAAAAAGACTGGCGGCTGCGGAACAAAAGCGCAACAAGCAGAGGTTATTTTGCGGCGGCAGAAGAAAAACACAGAATTCAAGAGGAGTTTTTGTGTGTAGGCTTTTGTGCTTTTGTAGAGAGATATTGTGAGGGATCTGAGAGTTTGTTTAAGGGTTTAGATTGTGAGTGATTGTAAACCCTAGTTGTATTCTCTCCCTCTATTAGTAGATCTCCCCCCTCCTTGCCCCGTGGACGTAGGCAATTTGCGAACCACGTAAAAATTGATTGTACTGCTATTTGTGTGATTTGTAATAGCTTTTAGGATCCCTCGATAGGTCAGTCCTAGAACTGATGAGAGGAAGAGCTGATATCTCACTTTGTTGAGATATTCGCTTCAGATTCTTATTTCCTTGGTGAGACAGGAATTCTTTTTGCGATCTGACTCTCTTGTTGTACTGTCGAAGTGCTGCCGAAATTTCCACTGCGCGCAACAAGTGGTATCAGAGTCCAGATTTCAAATCTAGGGTTTTTTGGTGGAGGAAGATTCTTGTGTGAAGCTTAATTCTTGGAGTTCTCGGCTTCGGTGAAGATAGCATTAGGAGTTGCCGTTGGAGATTTCGCTTTCCTCGTGTGGTTAGGAAATCTATTTGGAATCCAATCTAGGGTTCAGTTGGGTGGTTCCTAATTCTATCAAATTTGTTCTTTCTCTACAATTTGGAGTTAGTTTGCAATGGGAGAAGAAGGTGAAAGCAGCAAATCGATGGCGAGTACAATACAAGTTGGTTTTCAGAACACTAAGATTAGTGTGGTGAAGTATGACGGCAAAATCAACTTTGATTTGTGGATGAGCGACGTACAGGATGCGCTCAATGCTCAGAATTTGGAAGAGACCATCATAGTCCAGGAGAGGCCATCTAAATATGATAAGGCGATATGGGAGAAGATGAATAGGAACGCTTGTGGGGTGATCAGGTCCTGTTTGGAACAGGAGCTGAATAGTGAAGTGACTAACGCTTTGACGAATTACGACTTGAGGAGGAAGGACAAGGAGACTTCCCGCGCTAGCACTTCAGGCGAAGCCTTGTCGACGAGAGGCAGAAGCCCATATCCAAAAGGTGGTAACAGAGGGAGGTCAAAGTCTAGAAGCCGCCACCAATTAACAAAGAACCAATGTGCATTCTGCAAGGAGCAGGGACATTAGAAGAGAGACTGTCCGAAGCTCAAGGAGAAGGAGAATGGCAAGAAAAAGGGTCCGAAGGCCAATGAGGTGAATATTGCGAAAGGCGATGATTCCGATGATTCGTGCTTTTCTCTACTGATTACTCCGGAGGTGAACCATGTGGATGCATCAGATTGGATGCTTGATTCCGGCGCTACCTTTCCTGTGACCCCTAGGCGAGACTGGTTTGCATCTTTTGAGAAAGTCGACGGGGGCGTTGTTGTCATGGGAAATGATCAATCCTGTGGCGTTTGTGGGATAGGTACCGTGCGGATTAGGATGCACGATGGAGTAGTCCGTGAGTTGAAGGAGGTGAGATTTGTTCCTCAACTGAAGAAAAATCTTATCTCAGTTGGAGCTTTGGAGGCGAAGGGATTCAAGGTGGCTTTCGAAAACGCTGTAGCGAAGGTTACTAAGGGATCATTGGTGGTGATGAGGGGAGTCCGCAATCGGAATTTGTATTATCTGAAGGGAAGCACCGAGATTGGCCAGGTTGCTTCGGCTATTTCAGAAGCGAACATGAGCAGACTTTGGCACTATAGGTTGGGGCACACAGGTAAAAAATCACTGCAGGCATTATGCAAGCAGGGGATATTGAAGGGAGCCAAGAGTGGGAAGATTGAGTTCTGTGAGCACTGTGTTCTTGGCAAGAAGACGAAGGTGAAGTTCGGGACTGCCATTCATCAGACGAGGGGCATCCTGGATTACGTGCACACAAACGTTTGGGGTCCCACCAAGACTGCATCACTTGATGGTCGATATTCGTTCGTCACTTTTGTAGATGACTATTCTAGGCGTTGTTGGGTGTACACCATGACGAAGAAGAGTGAAGTCCTAGATTTGTTTGTGGAATGGAAGAAGAGATTGAAACTGCAGACTGGGAGAAAGATCAAGACGTTGCGATCCGACAACGGTGATGAGTATACTTCTGACCCCTTTCAGCAGCTATGTCGAGACGAGGGCATAGAGAGACACTTCACAGTTAGTCATACACCGCAGCAAAATAGGGTGGCAGAGAGATTAAATCGGTCTTTACTGGAGAAGATCCGATGCTTATTGTCGCAGAATGGTTTGGAAAAGATCTTTTGGGTTGAGGCACTTACATATGCGAGCCACCTCATTAATACGCTGCCTTCATCTGCGATTGAGGGGAAAACCCCTATGGAGATGTGGTCGGGAAAGCCAGCACACGATTATGACCAGCTCAAGGTATTTGAGTGCCCTGCATATTATCATGTTAGAACTGATAAATTGGAACCTCGAGCTAGGAATGCCATATTTGTAGGATTCAAGCGTGGTGTCAAGGGATATAAGTTTTGGGATCCAGTGGATAAAAAGATTGTACTGAGTAGGGATGTCACATTCGATGAGGCTTCTATCTTGAAGCTTCCCAGCTCTCATCAGGTGGAGAGCGACCCGACGGAGGAGATATCGCAGGTGGTGGAGATCGATGCAGCTCCACATTGTCCAGATGGTACAGTATCCATGCAGGTGCCGACTGAGGTGACGCCAGACGAGCATGACGGTGACACGGAGGATACGAGTACAAATGTGCAGGATCAGGAACCGACGGCTCAGGTTCAGGATTCAATTACGGCTCGGAGACAGAGGAGTAACATACAGATGCCAGCACGGTATGCCGACATAGTTGCGTATGCACTTCCGGTGGAGAGTATCGATGAGATGATACCTACTACTTTCAGAGAGGCCGAGCAGAGTTCGGAGGCTGATTCGTGGCAGGTGGCTATGCAGGAGGAGATGAAATCTCTTCATAAGAACGATACATGGGAGCTTGTGGAGCTTCCAAAGGGAGGGAAAGCAATTGGTTGCAAGTGGGTATACACAAAGAAGGAGGGCATTGAGGGCACTCCATTGAGGTTCAAAGCTAGGTTGGTTGCGAAGGGCTATGCACAGGAAGAAGGTATTGACTATAATGAGGTTTTCTCTCCGGTGGTGAAGCACTCTTCGATTCGGATTCTGCTAGCTTTGGTGGCACAGTATGGTTTGAAATTAGATCAGTTGGATGTGAAGACGGTATTTCTTCGTAGTGATCTTGATGAAGAAATATATATGACTCAGCCATTGGGATTCCGAGCTGCAGGGAAAGATAAGTTGGTTTGCAGATTAAAGAAATCGCTATACGGTTTGAAGCAGTCTCCTCGACAGTGGTATAGGCGATTTGATGGTTTTATGATTGGTCATTCGTACACTCGGAGCCAGTTTGATCCTTGCGTATATTTTCGCAAGTTGAAAGGAGGTGCGTACATTTATTTGTTGCTTTATATCGATGACATGTTGGTTGCCTCTACTTCCAGGTCGGCTATAGATGAGTTGAAAGTTCAACTTTCAAATGAGTTTGAGATGAAGGACTTGGGTGAGGCGAAGCGCATTTTAGGGATGGAGATCGGCAGAGACAAGAAGAAGGGCAGAATTTGTTTGACACAGGTGGCTTATTTGAAGAAGGTTCTACATCGATTCCATGTTAGCATGGATACGAAGCCAGTTAGTGTACCATTGGGAGCCCATTTGAAGCTTTCAGCTGGTCTTTCACCGTAGTCAGTTGAAGATCGAGAGTTAATGTCGAAGATTCCATATGCGAGTGCGATTGGGAGCTTGATGTACGCGATGGTATGTACGAGACCGGATTTGTCACAGGCGGTGAGCATGGTATCGAGATACATGCATGATCCAGGAATGGGTCATTGGGAAGCCGTGAGATGGATTTTGAGGTACATTCGAGGTACGCTCAATGTTGGTTTAGTTTATGAGCGGGACACTACAGGTGGGCAGCTATGCATTGGTTATGTTGATTCGGATTATGCCGGGGATTTGGATAAGCGCCGGTCTACGACGGGATATGTGTTCACTTTGATCCGTGAGCCGGTGTGTTGGAGATGCACATTACAGTCTACGGTGGTTTTGTCTATGACGGAGGCAGAGTATATGACAGTTACGAAGGCTGTGAAAGAGGCTATTTGGCTTCGAGGACTTTTGGAGGAACTTGGTATATCGTAGAGGTCCGTCACTATTCATTGTGATAGCATGAGTGCTATCTATTTGGCGAAGAATCAGGTTTTTCATGCGCGGACGAAGCACATTGATGTTCGTTATCACTTCGTTCGAGATGTTCTTGAAGATGGCGATGTGGAGATTATGAAAGTCCACACGAAGGATAATCCGGTGGATATGCTCACTAAGGTGGTTC